ATCTGGGGTTGGTTGAATCCACAGATGCAGAGAGCCAACTGTGGGGATTGAACACTGGAGGATTTTGGTATTCATGGCAGGTCTTGGAACCAACCCATGCAGATATAGAGGGATGGCTGTACATCATAACTTCCTACTAAGTAGGTATACCTGATCCTGTCCATGGAGGGGATTCCTGAAAATGTCCCTTCCCCGTGACATTTTACACCAGACCAAGCCATCCCTGTGTCATATTCTACCTTGCTTTCCTTTTCAGTATCTGTATCTTCTGTGGGTTTTTTGCTATTGTCTCTTTTTCTTCTACTTTTAGTTCATGAGATCCTATTCTCTGATGTGCCTCAACTTTTGATTGAATGCCAGATATCGTTTATAAAAAACTGTAGATGTTGCTGGTGGTTCTTCATGGTGCTATTTCCTTCCAGAGAGGTTTTACTTTTGCTTCTGGCAGATAGTGAAAGTAAAGGCAGGTGTTGTGTGCATGTTCAGTCGCTCAGTCGTATCTGATCCTTTGCAACCCAACGGACTGTAGCCCGCCAGGCTCCTCTGTCTGTGGGATTTCCCAGGTAAGACTACTGGAGTGGGTTGCCATTTCCTCCTCCAGGGGATCTTCCTGACCCAGGGATCAAACCCATGTCTCTTGCGTCTCCTTCACTGGCAGGCAGATTCTTTACCACTACACCATCTGGGAAGCTCCCAAAGGCAGGTGACTTCAGTCTAATCAGAAATTAAGCTGAGTTGAAGCTGGATTTTAGTCTGGGTGAAGGTTGATCTGTTTCTGGTCGCTCCCTGCTCCTAGAATGAAGTTTTTGGTGACCCCATCTTTGTGATCCTTGACTTTCAGGGTCTATTTCTCCAGCCCCAGAAGATTGCCAGAAGCTACATTCAGCTTCTCAGCTTCTCTCTGGTCTGCTTTGCACTGAAGAATTGCATTCAAATCAACAACCTGCTTGCGAGGGGAAAAAACAAAACACTGCATCATGTCTACTCACCTTTCTAGGATTCTGACCTCTCAAATTCTGTTTTGACAACACCCTCAAACTGAGGGTGTTTTTTCCTTCTGATTTTATCCAGCTTTTTTTTTTTAAGTAGCCTGCAATAAGGTAGTCTGCCACCACTAGAAATAGTTAACCCTGTTGTATTTTTTCTAAGTATTTTAAATTATTTATTCATTTATTTTTGGCTGTGCTCCGTCTTCGCTGCTGCATGCAAGCTCTTCTCTGGTTGCAGCTAGCGGGGGCTACTCTTTGTTGCAGTACATGGGCTTCTCATTGTGGCAGCTTCTCTCACTGCAGAGCATGCAGGCTTCAGCAGTTGTGGCTCCTGGGCTCCAGAGCATAGGTTCAGTAGCTGTGGTTCACAGGCTTAGTTGCTCCAAGACAGGTGGGATCTTTGTGGACCAGGGATCGAACCTGTGTCTCTTGCATTGCAGGCGGATTCTAAACCACTAACCCACCAAGGAAGTCCTTCCTGTTGTATTTTTAACACAATATTTTTATCAAGCCTCCATTTCTAACTCTGCTCGACTCACCATGTGTCTCTGTTTCTGGGCTCCTGGGTCCCTGCCTTTGTTGCCACCAGTTTGATGAAGGCCCCTCATCACTTCTTACTGCCTTTGATTTCCCTGAAGTTCTCGTATCTGCTCTCTACCCAAAGGTCTGAAAGATCCAAGAGGCACTTGCAGCCTGTCCAGGGAAAGTGATGGGAGATGAGGAATTAAAACCTGGAGCACAGCAGAGGAGGTAATTTTTTAAATCTCCTTGGGCTTTCCTCTGGATTTCTGTGTGTGCGTCTAGATGTTTGTGTATAACTGTTCTCAGTCACTCAGTCCTGTTTGACTCTTTGCCACCTCATAGACTGTAGCCCGCCAGGCTTCCCTGTCCATGGGATTCTCCGGCAAGAATACTGGAATGGGTTGCCATTTCCTATTCCAGGGGATCTTCCGGACCCCAGGATCAAATTCGTGTCTCTTGCATCTCCTACAATGGCAAGTGGATCCTCTACCATTGAGCCATCTGTTAACATGCGTCTGACTACTTACGTGTGTATGTTTGCCATTGTCTGCAAGTGCTGGAGAGTGTGTTGGGTAGTGTTGGTGTATCGAGTATGGTGCGGTCTCTTTTGAGGTTTTTTTGATGTGGAGCATGTGAATTTATAAAGTCTTTATTGAGTTTGCTATTAATACGATATTGCTTGCTTTATGTTTTGGTTTTTTGGCCAGGAGGCATGTGGGATCTTAGTTTCCCAGTGAGGAATCGAACCCTCACCCCCTACACTGGAAGGCAAACTCTTAACCACTGGACTGCCAGTGTGTTAAAGTCTGTAGAGTGTATTTTTATGTATTTTTGTGGTTGAAGATTCAGGTGCCACCTACTCAATAGGATAGTGGAAGTGATGAGGGAGGTGCAGACGGAGGTCACCAAGGCCAGTGGGGAGAACAAGAAGTGGCCAAGGAGAGAGCCCCGAGGACACAGAGTTCAAAGGTCAGGCAGAAAAAGGAAGAGGAGAAAGTCAGGAAGGGAGACTGAGAAGGAGCAGACAGAGAAGCAAGAGGCCTGTGAGGGATGGATTTCAGGAAGACGGTGGTCAGACCTGTCCCGTAAACGTGAGACTGAAAAGTGCCTGTTATAGATTTAGCCCCAGAGAGAGCTAGAAGACTGAAAGGGATGGAAATAAGACTTCGGGGGGGTGGTGGAGTCGAGTAGGCGTGTGTCGGTAAAGACAGAAGTGTGGATGACCCTTTGAGAAGAGAGGGTGGAGGCTGAGAGGTCCCTGAAGAGAGATGGGACAGCCAGGAATTTTTCAGACATTGGTGAAAATGCCACCACCAGGGGGCAGCACTTGTATGACCAGGCGCTGGCTGGCATCCACACAGATGCACATCCAGATAAAACCATGGACAAATAGACACGCGGAAATCCGGGGCTGATACCAAGCTCTCCCCCAAATACTGGGAGCAGATCTCCCCAAGTCCCAGGTGAGTCATGTAGATCCCATCCCACAGATATGGGCATTCACACAAACACATACAGAGGATCACAGAGATTTTTAAAACCACATAGACAGTATTATTCAGCCATTAAAAAAAAACAACCTGATATTTTGCCTGTTACAACAACATGGATAGACTTTAAAGGCATTATGCTAATGAAATAAATAAGTTAAGAGAAAAGCAAATGCTATGTGATCTCGTTTATATGTGGAACTTAAAAAAAAAAAGAAAAAAACAATGACAACCAAACTCATAGAAAAAGAGATCAGATTTGTAGTTACCAGAGTCAGGGGGTGGAGTGGGGAAATTGGGTGAAGCTGGTCAAAAGGTTCCAACTTCCAGTTATAAGATAAGTAAATCTTGGATGTGATGTACATGATGGCTATAGTTAACACTGCAATATGGTGTGTTTGTTCCCCTGGTGGCTCAGTCAGTAAAGAATCCACCTGCAATGCAGGAGATGCAAGAGACATGGCTTTGATCCCTGGGTTGGCAAGATCCCCTGGAGAAGGAAATAGCTACCCACTCCAGTACTCTTGCCTGGGAAATCCCATGGACAGAGGAGCCTGGTGTGCTACAGTCCATGGGGTTCCAAGAGTTGGACACGACTTAGCAACTAAACCAGCCACCAAACAAGAGAGTAAATCCTACAAGTTCTCATCAGAACAACAACAAAAAAACATATTTTTTTCTTTTCTTGGTATCTCTATGGGTTGATGACTTCCCTGGTGGCTCAGATGGTAAAAGCGTCTGCCTATGATGTGGCAGACCCGGGTTCAATCCCTGGGTTGGGAAGATCCCCTGGAGAAGGAAATGGCAACCCACTCCAGTACTCTTGCCTGGAAAATCCCATGGACGGAGGAATCTGGTGGGCTCCAGTCCATGGGGTTGCAGAGTCAGACACGACTGAGCGACTTTACTTTTTATGGGTTGATGGATGCTAACTAAGTTTACTGCACTACTCATTTCACAATATATGTTAAGTTATTATGATGTAAATCTTAAACTTATACAGTGATGTCAGTCAATTACACCTCAATGAAACTGGGGGGGGGAAACATTTATATAAACACCCCTATATACACACATCCCCATAGACAAGTTGACACTCAAGATTTAAAAACACACCATGTGCTGACACACAAAAGTAATTTATGTTCACAGTCACTGAGTTGTGTCCAACTCTTTGTAACCCCACGGACTGCAGCACACCAGGCTCCTCTGTCCATAGGATTTCTCAGGCAGGAATACCATATCTGGTTGCTATTTCCTCCTCCAGGAGATCTTCTGGACCCAGGGATGGAACCCAAATCTCTGTACCTCCTGCATTGCAGGCAGATTCTTTACCACTGTGTCACCTGGGAAGCTGACGCACAAATGCACTGTCAAAAGCACAGTGTGTGCATGCTAAGTCGATTCAGTCGCATCCAGCCCTTTGTGACCCCCTGGACTGTAGCCCACCAGGATCCTCTGTCTATGGAATTCTCTAGGCAAGAATACTGGAATGGTATCCCCTTTTCCAGGGGATCTTCCTGACCCAAGGATCAAACCCAGGTCCCCTGCATGGCAAGCAGATTCTTTAACATCTGAACCACCAGGGAAGCCCTCAAAAGCAGAGACAATGACAAACACTCACACACAAACACTCAGACATCCATGCATGCCCAAGCCCACCCACCTCAGGACCAATCTATACTTGTCTCCTGAGAACCCCCTCATTGCTTTCTCTGTTCCTCCTGGCAAAGTCTTGTATTACTACAGCCAGGGTGAGAGGCCTAGAGGGCAAGGGAGGTGTGGGGTAGTGCTAAGTACTCGGCCTCCCCCAAGGCTGCAGTCCTGCCTCCCCCGTCCCCCGCCCCAGTCCCAAGCTGCCATCAGCTGATGTGTCTGGCAGCCCCTGCAGACAGTCTCCGCCCCTCTTGCTGGCAGCCCTGTCCTGGCAGGGCTTCCCGGCCGAGCGCCTTCTTCATCCTGCCGTTAACTCACACACTCGCATGCACGCACGGCCCCCATGGCCAGCTCGGCGCTCAACCACTCCTGGCCGGCTCTCTCCAAGTTCTGGCTGAAGCGATGGGCCTTTAAAAGAGGTAAGGGGGCATGCAGTGAGTAGTGGGCACCGGCCACCCAGGCTCCCGGGACAGCCTGCTGCCCACCATCCCACTCCAAGCCTTTTCTCAGCCCAGGGTACAGACCCTGCCTGAGTCAGCCCCGGACGATCTCTGCTTCCCCAGGGCCCCAGTGGAACATCACAGACTTGTGGGGTCCCTCTTGTCTCAGAGATGTCTCCCCAAGCTCTGCCAGGAGGTTGTCTCAGAAGGTAAATCTGTGGACGGACAATTCGCCCTAGACCTGGGGCAGCCTGGTGGCTTCCTGGGGGTTCCTGATGCTACTTGTTCCCTGGGTGGGTGCAGGACAGAGGTTCAGGGAGGCAGCGAGAGGAAGGTCTGAGACATCCAGAGATTCACGTACACATGCCCTGGAATACACACACACATACACATTGGCTGGTAGCCCCACCACACTGGGTCCCGGGACCTCAGTTTACCTTTCTGGGAGCTGGGGAATCATATCCCCCCCAAGGTATGGGTGAATTTTTTTTGCAAAAAGGCACTTCTTAAATCTCAGCAGGAGTTTAGTCCTGGAAGATAGCCAGATAGTGTCCGAGGCCACGGGGCAGAGGGGGATTGTGTGATAGGAACTCCCCCTACCCCTTGCCTAAGCCGGGTACTTGTTGATGCGTGAGTTTCCGTGCAGGAGACGAGCCAAGGAGAAGACCCATTCGCTTCTCCATGACATACGCTCTGGTTGAGGACCTATAGTGTGCCGGGCACTGTGCTGGAGGAGACAGGGCTAGCAGGGGACCTGGAGGCTGGGGCTGGGGAGGGAGAGGGTGGCCTGGGGACTGGGATGCAATAGAATGGTCATAGTGGTAGAAATTGCACCGGTTGTTGAGCCCTTGTGAAGCTGGACTCAGAAAGAAGGCGTGATGAACTCAAGGTCACATAGCAAGTATATGCTGAAAGAGCCAGGCTTTGAAACATGTTATGTTCCAAAGCCACCTCTGGGGTTGTTCTGGGCAGTGAAGGAAGCTACCAGTGTGAGTTGTGTGGACGGCTTGCAGAGGGTTTTTAAATCCACCAGTGGATGGCAATGCTAGAGAATTAGGGTATCAGCCACAGATCACCAAGATGCCCACATCCTTATGAAGGTCTAGCCAATCCTGGCCACCCAGCCCAGCCTGTCTCCCTGCCCTGGGCAGGTTGAAGCTATGATTTACAGGCTGGCAGGTGGGGGAGTGAGCTGTGGGAACCAGTGGTAACTCTTAAACCCTTTTATGGCCGGGGCTGCAAGGGTTGCTGGTGTAAGAGGCTGCCTAGAACCTGAATCCAAGCTGATAGGCGGCTCCTTAGAGAGAAGCTTGGGGGTGGGGAGCAGAGAGGGACTCCCTAACCATGTCCTACCAGTCTTTAGCCTTTCTGTGCCCTCCTCTTAAGCTCTGTAACTGGCTGTCTGGGCACCAGATGGGACCTCCTGGGAAAATAATGGAGTAGATGTGGGGAGACAGACAAGGCTAGGGAAGGGGGGTTGGGATTTGCAGCAGAGCAGAGCCCATTGGCCCTTCCCCTCAGTTTCTCAGTTACTTATTTTGGCCACACTTTTCCACTCTTTCCCTAGTATATGATAAGCGTGTATGTCGTGAGTGCATTCTGTGTCTCAACTTGGTTTCCTTCTTGCCTGGCTTCTCTGCCACAATCCTGCCTCCTTCCATCTAGAGCTCTCCCCACTCTCGTCCCCTAGGAATACCATCTCCAGAATGCAGAGCAATCACTGCCACTTGCCATTGCCACATGACTTATCCCAACTATCCATCCATTCATCCATCTAACCATCCACTTTTTTATCTGTCCAACCAGTCAGGTAGCCAACTATCCATTCATGCCTCCATGTATCCATGTTTTCATCCACCCATCCATCTAACCATCTACCAATTCATCTACCCAACCAGAAAGACAGCCGACTATCTATCCATGCATTCTTGTATTTATGTACCCATCCACCCATCCATCCAAAGAACCATCCAACTAGTTATCTATCTAAACATCTACTCATTCATCCATCCAACCAGCCAGCCAGTCAACCATCCACCCATGCATCTACACATTCCTCCCTCTCTCTAACCACCCATTCATCCATGTAGGTAACCATCCACCCATCCAAACATCCATTCATTCAACCATATAGCCAGACAATTTTCCCTTCAGCCAGCCAGCCAACCAACTAGCCAACTACCCAACAACCATCTATCCAACAATTCATCCAATTCATCCATCCACCCTTCCATCCAACCATTTATCCAGCCATCTATCCATTCATCAGCTCATCACAGAATAGCTCTGTGGTTAGGAGCCCTTGCTTTGGAGTAAGAAATACCTTGCTTCCCATCTCAACTCTGCCTCTTGACAGCCTGGCGTGACCTTGGACAAGTCAATACACCTCTCTGAGCCTCAGTTTCTCCTTCCATAATGTGGGGACTCAGAGGGTTGTTGTTAAGATAGAAGAATGGAAAGAACATGACAGGCTTAGCATGAAGCAAGACATATTGGAACTGATCAAGAGACTTGGGGGATATAAAAGTGGGTTAGATACAGAACTTGCCCCCATGGACCTCGGAGTGGAATTCAGAAAACCTTTTTTGTAAAGGACCAGGGAGTAAATGTCTTCAGCTTTGTAGGTCATATGGTCTCTGACGCAACTGCCGGACACTGTGGTTGTAGCATGATGACAGCCATAGACAACAAGGTACACAAATGGGTGTGGCTGTGTGCTACTAAAATTTTATTTACAAAATCAGGTGTTGAGCCAGATTTGGCCTGTGAAACTCCTGATCTAGAAGTGAACAAGTAGTCCAGTTAAAGTACAACCAGAAGTAGAAAAGGGGTGTGTGTGTGTGTGTTCAGTCCCTCAGCCGTGTCTGACTCTTTGCAACTTCATGAACTCTAGCCCACCAGGCTCCTCTGCCCATGGGCTTCTCCAGGCTAGAATCCTGGAGTGGGTTGCCATGCCCTCCTCTAGGGGATCTTCCCAACCCAGGAATTGAACCTGCGTCTCTTATGTCTTGTGTGTTGGCCCAGGGGTTCTTAGCCACTAGCAAACCAATCCAAACTCCTCTGGCTAAGACGGTCTGCAGAGGATCGGAGGGACCCCTTGGTTGCCAGGCAGGAAGAGTGGGGAAGGGTGGTAGGAACTGCAGAGAGGTATGTAGGAGAATGGTGAGTTAGGAGCTCAGGCATTTTGGGGAAGTTGAGCGGGTGGACTGCAACGTGTTCAAATGTCCTTGTAAGGGGACTGGAGTCTATGGGGTGGGGACCAGACGAAGGAGAGTGACTCTGAAATGTCGTGCCAAGAAGACACATCTTCTACTGGGATGGAAGAAGCCAACTATCGTTGGCAATGGTTTGTGCAGGAAAATCCCAACAAGAGTTGCAGTTGTAGGGGCTTCCCTGATGGTCCAATGGTTAAGGACTCCATGCTCTCAATGCCAAGGGCATGAGTTTGATCCTTGCTTGGGGAACTAGGATCCTGCATGCCTGGAAAGCACAACCCAAAAGAAAAAAACTTGTGGTTGTGTAGAGAGAGCATTGTTGCTGTGTTTAGTGGCTAAGTTGTATCCAACTCTTTGTGATCCCATGGACTGTAGCTACCAGGCTCCTCTGTCTATGGAATTCTCCAGGCATCTTGCCTGGAGTGGGTTGCCATTTCCTTCTCCAGGGGATCTTCCTGACCCAGGGATTGAACCCAGGTCTCCTGAATTGGCAGGAGGATTGTTTAATGCTGAGCCATCTGGGAAACCCAGAGAAGGCATAATGGAAGCTGATATTAAGATCGTATCAGAGGCAAAACAAAAGGAGGATGGAGGGACTGCCCTGGTGGTCTAGAGGTTAAGACTGTGCTCCCAATGATGGGGCTCTGGGTTCGATCCCTAGTCAGGAAACTAGATCCTACTTGCTGCATCTGAGAGTTTGAGTGCCACAACTAGGATCTGGCACAGCCAAATAAATAAATAAAGCTAAATAAATGGAAAATTTTTTAAAAAGAGGACCAAGTGGAAAAATATTGTGGGGGGTGGAGTTGACAGGGCTTGGTATCCTGAGGGGTTGGGAGGAGGCAGAGCCCAAGTTCGGGTTTCTGTTGGGGTGACTGGGGAGACACTGCAGTCACACTGATACACAGACCCCGAAGGAGAAAGGAAGACAAGGAGTTTGGTCTTGACAGCTTGAGGTTGGAGTGCAGGTGGGACTATCAGGCCATGGTGACCAGAGGCCGCTGAAGACAAAGTCTGGAGCTTGAGGGAGTCTGTCACCAGAACCAAGGCTCAGAGTGTGACATCAGAGTCAGGGCTCAGCGTGTGCCTGGGCTCAGTGCGTGATGGGGATTGGGGTACAGCTTGAAGCTCTAGGACGGGAACTCAGTCCATGACACCAGCATTGGGACTCAGTCTATGACCCCCCAAGCAGGGCTTGGTGTATGACCCCAGGACCGAGGTTCAGTCCATGACACTGGGACAGGGACTCAGTCTGTGACCCAAAGATTGAGGCTCAACCTGTGACGCAGAGATCAGAATGGACTCTGCCATCAGGGTCAGGTTCGGCCTGTTCTTGGATCAGAAATGGCATGAAGTGACAGTTGCTTCAGTCATGTCCAACTCTTTGTGACCCCATGAACTACAGCCTGCCAGGCTCCTCTGTCCATGGGATTCTCCAGGCGAGAATAGTTACTGAGGTGAGTTACCATGCCCTCCTTCAGGGATCAAACCCACATCTCTTACATCTCCTGCACTGGCAGGCGGATTCTTTACCATCTGAGCCACCACGGAAGCCACACACCCCGGGTCAGAAGCATCCATCCAAAGAATCAACTCAGCCCTGGCCTTTCTACCTTTGGCCTTTGGGTCCCAGACCTGCAGGGTCGCAGATGCAAGGATGCGGTTCAAGCCTCCGTGAAGCCCCCATCCAGGAAAGCAGGCACACCCAGAAGCCTGTCCTGAGGCCCCCCAGGATCTTGGTCAAGGGACGGAGCTACCTCTCGGGGAGTCTCCTCCTCCTTTTTCAAGCTGCCATCAGCCTCCAAGACTCACCCCCACATCTGGCTTTTCTCGTCCTTCACAGCCTGCTTGCTTTGTTCCAACATCTCCTGAGTCATAGAAGCTGCCTCGTGGGAGATGCAGGGCTGAATGAGGGCAGCAGAACAGAGGCCCTCACCCAACCTGGGAGAGTAGCTAGGAGAGCAGAGGTGGTTTGTAGAATATACCGTGATGGGAATTCCCTAGTGGTCCAGTGCTTAAGACTTGGTGCTTTCACTTTAACTGCTGGGCCAGGTTCATTCCCTGGTTGGGGAACCACGATCCCACAAACCATGAGGCGTGGCCAAGGAAAAAAGCGAGTGTTGTGAAAGATCACCACAATCAATTTTAGAGGTTTGCATCACCCCCAAAAGAAATCTGTATCCTTTATTCATCACCTCAAAGTTCCCCATTTCTCCCCATCTTTGGATGCTGTGTGTGTGCGTGCTAAGTCGCTTCAGTCGTGTCTGACTCTGTGCAATCCCATGGATTGTAGCCCACCAGGCTCCTCTGTCCATGGGATCTCCCAAGCAAGAATACTGGAGTGGACTGCCATTCCCTTCTCCAGGGCATCTTCCTGACCCAGGGATCGAACCCGTGTCTCCTGCACTGGCAGGTGGGTTCTTTACCACTAGTACCACCTGGGAAGCCTCTCTCCAGCCTTAGACAACCACTAATCTACTTTCTGCCCCTATAGATTCACCTGTTCTAGACATTTCATACAAATGGGATCCACTAACATGGGATATTTTGTGAACTGACTTCTGCAATGTCACATGATATCTGTCTTCAAGGTTCATTCCTGGTATAATAAGTTTCAAAATGCCATTTCCTTTTTTATTCTTCTTTTATTTATTTATTTGTTTGTTTATTTTGGCCACACCATGCAGTTTGTGGAATCTTAGTTCCCTGACCAGGGACTGAATTCAGTTCCTCGGCTGTTAAAGCACTGAGTTCTAACTATTGGACCTCCAGGGAATTCCCAGAACTCCCCCAATTCCTTATTGTGACTGAAAAACATTCCACTGTATGGATGGACCACATTTTGTGTATCCATTCTTCTGTTTATGGGCATTTGGATTGTTTCCACCAAGTTTTGGTCACCCTGGATTTTTTTTGCTGCTCGGAGGCTTTCTCTAGTTGCAGCAAGTGGGGGCTACACTGTAGCTGTGATGCACGTGCACGGGTTTCTCATTGCTGTGGCTTCTCTTGTTGTGGATCACAGGCTGTAGGGTGTGTGGGCTTCGGTAGTTCTGCATCTCATGGGCTCTTTTGCTCTGTGGCGCGTGGGATCTTCCCAGACCAGGGATCAAGCTCGTGTCCCCTGCACTGGCAGGCGGACTCAACCACTGGACCACCTGGGAGGTCCTATGCTTAAGTTTTTTTTTTAATTAATTTATTTTTTATTGAAGGATAATTGCTTTACAGAATTTTGCTGTTTTCTGTCAAACCTCAACATGAATCAGCCACAGGTACACATATATCCCCTCCCTTTTGAACCTCCCTCTCATCTCCCTCCCCATCCCACCCCTCTAGGTTGACACAGAGCCCCTGTTTGAGTTTCCTGAGCCATACTATGCTTAAGTTTTTGAAAAACTGCCAAAATGCTTTCCAAACTCCTTGAGTTTTTCACACCCATGTAATAGCTTTTCATTCATCTATTTATGGAATGCATTTATTCCTGTCTTGGCTGTTTTCTGCTGTTCTTGCTACTTCCCAGTAATTTTGCATTCATAATTTTATACTCTTTCCTAAAAAAAAAAAATAAGCCCTCCAAATTATACAAGTGTCATGCCCCCCAAAACATAGGGCAGTGTTTGTACCTACACAGCTGGGAGGAGAAGGAAGGTAAGTGGGTACAGACAGCTCATCCTACTTTGGGATAGAAAAAGACAGCATCATCCCTTCCCATCTGCTGGCCACAGTGGTTATAGGTGGAGTGGACACCCCACTGGTACCATTTGGAGGGAGAAAGCATGGTACTGTGGGAGGTTTTGTTTTATTTATTTGTTTATTTCCTTGGCTGTGCAGGGTCTTACTTGTGGCACACGGAATCTTTTCATTGTGGCATGTGGGATCTAGTTCCCCGACCAGGGATCAAACCCAGGTTCCCTGCACTGAGAGCATGGAGTCTTAGCCACTGGACCACCAGGGACGTCCCATACTGTTCATCATCACTTGACTCAGCAGTGTAAACCAGGACTGTCCCCAGCAAGCCAGGACATGGGGTCACCCAGCCACAGAGGACCTGAGCTAAGGAGTGGAGGAGGCCCTAACTGGCACTTACCTAGGGCCCCGCCGTCCCACTCCCAGCCCCCAGCCCAGCCCCTCCGGGCTCTTACTGGCTCTCACTGCAAACGTGCTGGTCCATCTCTCCAAGTACCACCTCCGCTGGTCTCTCCCTGCCTCCACCTTCACCCAGCTCCTCTATTGTCACCTCCACACACACTTCTCTCAGCTCCCCAGTTTCAACAGGACCTGGGATGTCAGGGCAGGGGGCGTGGAGGAGTGAAAGGAATCCAGGGGTCAAGATAACACAATGCAATGAAGAGCAGGGTGATGCCCAGGACAGAGGCACCCTGAGAGGAGGGTGGATGGACATTTCTGGAGTGAGTAGGGTGAGCTCTTCAGGTGGGTGGCCCTGGAACAGGAGCGGGATGCTCTTAGGCAGTGGGTCCTGCCTAAGGGGCAGGGACAAGGCGCAGAGGAGGATCCTGGTGGACATCGGTGGCTGAACCAAGACGTTCGACCTTCTCCCTCCAGGTGGTGGGGCACCTCCATGGGGGTTCGAATAGGGAGGCATGATATGTTCTAGAAGCCATGCAAGGGGCAGGGGGAGAGAGATGGGACACCTGTGTCTCCCTCAGCGAAAGGCTCAGTCCAGGACTTCCCTGGTGGTCCAATGGTTAAGAGTCTATCTGCCAATGCAGGGGACGTGGGTTGAATCCCTGGGAAGATCCCACATGCTGTGGGGTGACTAAGCCCAGGTGCCACAACCACTAAAGCCCTCGCTGTAAGGCCCTCGAGCCACAACTGCTGAGCTTGAGTCTTGCAACTACTGAAGCCCATGTGCCCTAGAGCCTGTTGCCCACAAAAGAAGCTACTACAATGAGAACCCTAAGCACTGAGACAAAGAGAAACCTTCACTCACTGCAACTATAGAAAGCCTACATGTGGCAACAAAGACTCAGTACAACCAAAAATAATAATAAACAAAAAAGATTTTTTAAATAATGCACTGGGAAGAATTCCGAGGGGGCCATGGCTCAGGAGGAAAGAGCCCTGTGCCTGAACAGAAATGTCTGCCCCAGGCTCAGGATGAGTGGTGGGGAGTGGTGGCATATATGTTGGCTTACAGATCATCGGTACCATCCTCCCCTGCCACCCCATTTTACAGATAAGAAAACTGAGGCCCAGATGCAGAATTTGGGGCCCAACTCTTCAGGCCTCACAGCTCAGCTCTAACACCTTGTCCCTCCTTTCCCACAGGCTCTGAGCCCAAGCCATGTGTCCAGCCCTTTGACTCTAGAGCTGCAGATTCAGCCACCAAGAGCAGTGGTGGACCCTGGAGGCCTGAGGACCCAGACTTCTCCACCATGGAGGATGAGCAGGCAGGTGTCTGACTGCCGAGATGGGCAGGAGTTGATGACTCCAGGGGAGCAAGTACACTTTGTGTGCAATATTTCAGGGGATTATTAAAACATAGCAGAGTAGTTATTATGCCATTCCACAGGTGAGGAAATGAATGCTTTATGGAACAAGAAGAGGAAGCATGGGATGAGTAGAGTGGAGGGATGATGGATGGAAGGAGGGAAGGAAGGAAGGATTGACAGAAGACATGGATGATGGATGGATGGATGGAAGGACATTTTGATAGAAGAGGTGGATGGATGGATAGAAGAAAGAATCGAGGGAAGAAAGGAAGAGAGGGAGGAGGGAAGGTGGCTAAATGGGTGCATGGGTGGGTAGATGGATCAATGAAGAAGGAAGGAAAAGCTCCCATGAGGAGCTCTGAGCTAGAACATCCCTGCAGAGTAGTCCCAAGTTAGGCTGAGATGACCAAGCCATTGCATCCCCACACCAGTAAGTCATGGCCTGTGGACTGCCCAGGAAGGGATGTGACTTCCTGGGAGGAGGCTGACAGCTGACAGCCATCTGCTGATAGCCACCAACCCCTCAGCATCTGGGGCAACACATCCTCACCGAAGGGGGAATTTGGGTGGCATTTTGGACCACCCACCACAGTAAGGAAGGAGGCTTCATTATAGTCAAACCATATACAGGGAATTCTGCGTATCTGCCCATGTTTAAATTTTATTTATTTATTTATCATGGCAGCGCTGAATTTTCATTGCTGCGTGTGGGCTCTCGCTAGTTGTGGTGGCTGGGGCTGCCCTCTAGTTGTGGTGCGTAGACTGCTCATTGCTTCCCTGTTGCGGAACACGAGCCCTAGAGTGCTCCGGCTGCAGTAGCTGTGGCTCACAGCCTTAGTTTCCCCACAGCAGGTGGAATCTTCCCTGGACCAGGAATGGAACTTCTGTGTCCCCTGCATTGGCAGGCAGACTCTTAACCACCGGACCACCAGGACAGTCCACCCCTTATTTTGTAGAAGAGCACACGGGAGTCCAAGCAGGGAAGGAATTTGCCTCGGTGTCGGGAAGAATCTAGAGTAAATGAAGAGAGAACTGAGACTCAGGCTTAGCCCTGGATCCTTCCAGGGCTCTGGATATCTTGGAATAGGGACCGTGGGCAGCAGGCAGTTGGGCAGGATGGTGATGGAGAGACCACACATCTGGGAAGCAGGGAGACCTGGGTGGGCTCGGTGAGCACCCACCACCTCCAAAGAAGCCCTGCCACCCACATCCGCGTCCTCATCTAGTTGGCCACCAGAGCTGGAGGCAGCAGATGGCCATGTCCCTGTTCCTTCTGCCCAAAAGCCCTGTGGGCATCACACCTGTACAGCTCTCAGTTCTCTCCACGTCTGTCCCAGCCTTTCCACTGCCCTGGTGGAGGCCACTGTAGTTGCTCACCCAGGTGATCTGCACAGGCGTCTTCGCTGCTTCAGGCCCATCTGGGCTCTGCATCTGGCGTCATCCTTCTGAAGGGGAATCACCGCCTCCTCTCCCCCAGCCTCCCTACCACTGCTGTTGGGAACTTGGAGATTAAATCTTTCCTTCGGCTCCCAGGCCTGCTGATCCAGGCCCATTCCCCCCCCACCACCACCACCCCAACACACACACACACACACCTCCAGCCAAAAGGAAATCTTGCCAATTTGAGAAAAGGCATCCTGAACTCTGAAGCCTGCAGGCTTCTGAACATCCTGTTCTCTTAACGCCTGGAATGCCCTCACCCAGAGCCTTTGCCTAGCGAACGCCTACTCACTGCTCAGGGTGTCCCTCACTGTCACTTCCTCCAGGAAGCCCTCCCTGATTTATTCCTCCCTTCCTTTCTTTTTTTCACATTTAGTGGGACTTCTCATTGAAATATACATGCATTTTAATGAAAAGTAGGTACATATATATACAGGTAAGATATAGATTATTTTAAAATATATACAATTGGCTATATATATTGACCTATATAGCCAGTTCAAGAAATCATTTACATGTCACATGGACACTACTTTATGTGATTGGGAATACAGTTTGGGGGGTTAATTTTGGCTATGGAAGCTGCCTAAAGATAGTCTAACCTGTCCTAATTGAGTTATCCTTAGTAGAGTTTGCACACCAGTGATTATCCCAGGAATTTGTCCATTTTAAAAGAGGGATTTTCTGTATGATCTGGCTTAGAACAAATCTAATTTTTCAAACTTAAAAAAAAAATTAAGTTTTAAAACATAATAACAAAAAAGGGATTTCCTAAGTAGAACTCCAGTCCAGGATTCTTGTCCCCCCAGAGTCAACTGTCCCCTCCTGTTCTCTCTAGCCTACTTTCTACTTTCTAGAACATTCACTCATACTTGATTGTCATTGCAGGGCTTAATCATCAGTCTACTCCAATTAGCTCCATCTGGCAGGGCCCCAGAGGAAGATCCTTGATTTCTGAAGTATTAAAAACAACCACCATAATATGGGCTTGGCCAAAAAGTTTGCTCAGGTTTTTGCACAAGATGTTATAGAAAAACCCAAAGGAACTTTTCGGCCAACCCCATAACTGCTTCCACTGACCAAGGGCTTGCTTACAAGATGTAAACATCATCTCATTTCACCTGCCCAGCAATCCTACAAAAAGGCAACATAGGGCTTCCCTGGGTGGCTCAGTGGTGAAGAATCCGCCTGCCAATGCAGGAGACAAGGATTTGATCCTTGTTCTGGGAGGATCCCACAGGCTGTGAAGCAACTAGGCCCGTGTGCTACAACTCCTGAGCCTGTGCTCTAGAGCCCACAAGCTGCAACTACTGAAGTCCAAGTGCCCTAGAGCATGTGCTCTGCAACAAGAGAAGCCACTGCAGTGAGAGGCCTAAGCACTGCAACTAAAGAAAAGCCCACACAGCAGTGAAGACCCAGCATAGCCAAAACTAACTAAATAAGCAAATAAAAATATATTCAAAAAGAAGGCAACATAACACCCATTTTAGAGATGACAAGACTGAGGCCCAGAGAGGGTTAGAAACTTGCCTGAGGTCACACTGAGCTAACAAAAGCCACAGCAAGGATGCAAACCCTGACGAAGGCCCTTCTACCCTTCCAGCCATCAGAAAACCCTCTGTCCCTGTTTTGCTCTCTTGTTTGAAACTCATTCCCTGTTTTACATGATGAAACAGAACCAGAGACACGAAGTTGCTCTGGTGTGCTATTTTTTTCCTAAAGTACAAGGAGATAAATAGCCATTTACATTTTTAAAAAAACGTTGATCTGTGTACTATTTAAATCTGCACACAGCTAGCCGTTTTTATAGAGTGGAAATTCCTGGGGCATCTCGCCTCTGGGTCTGCGGGGGTGGGGAGGCACCCATCCCCCAAGGTTCCCCAGGGTCCAGGGAACAGGAGTCTGTTGATGGCATGCTCTCTGGGGTGTCAGGGCCAGCATACCTATGTTTGGGCAGATGCCCGGGGAGGCTCCTAGTGGGCTGGCTCCTGTTTCTCACCCAGGAAATGTTGGAGGAAAGATACAAGTTCCCCAGCAAAGGACGAAGTTCCCTCCCTCCCCCTCCCTCACTGTACCTGCCACAGCCGGCCACCCTCCCCTTCCACCCAAAGCCCTGGCTGGGTTCCCACTTCTGCCTCCTGTGAGGGAGGCCAGATGCGGGAGACAGAGGAGGGGGGACCCAGTCCAGGCCAAGAGGCTGTCTTGATGTGTTTATATTTACAGGAGGATGAAAACCAGAGATGTGAGGAAACTTTAGGGGCTGTGGCAGAGGAAGACGGGAGTTGGTAGAGGTTGTCCAGACACCCGGGATGGGATGGGATGGGATGGGATGGGATGGGATGGGAATGACCTCAGAAAGGCGGCTGGGGAAGTCAGAGGAGAATCAGGGGAACCCAGACCAGCCGGGGCCAGAGAGGTGGGTTTTTTGGACAGAGACTGAAGGAGAGGGACCCTTGTATATGAAAGACACAGGGAGGAAGCGGGAGACAGAGAAGGAGCAGCCAGGCAGGTGGTGGGAACCAGAGCAATGGGTGCAGGAACTTCCCTGGAGTTCCAGTGGTTGAGATGCCATGCTTCCACTGCAGGGGACACAGGTTCAATCCCTGGTCAGGGAACTAAGATCCCACATGCCACACAGAGCAGCCAAAAAAAAAGAAAAGAAAACAGATTAGTGGGTGCAAAGGAGAAATTCAAGAGGGGAGACTGTGGAAAATATGGCCAGGGCTCCAAAAGCCAGTCAGAGAATTGTTGTATGATCTAGCAACCCCGCTTCTACAGATCTACCCAAAAGAGGTAAAAATGGAGACTCAGACGTTTGTACACCTGTATTCATAGCAGTAAAACCCACAAGAGCTAAAAGGTGGAAGCCACTCAATTGTCCATCAAAGACCAAATAGATAAACAAAATGCAGTTTTGTTTATATCCATACAGTGTGGTCCATCCATACAATGAAATGTTATGCTTCCTCAAAAAGAAAGGAAACTGTGACCTGTGCTAGAACATGGATGAACTTGAAAACGTTAAGCTAAGTGAAATAAACTAGACACAAGAGGACAAACATTCTATGATTTCACTTATACAAGGTGCCTAGAATAGGCAGGTGGCCAAAGCCTTATGCAGAGAGCCAACTCATCAGGAAAAATCCTGATGCTGGGAAAGATTGAGGGCAGGAAGAGAAGGGGACGACAGAGGATGAGATGATTGGATGGCATCATTGACTCAAAGGACATGAGTTTGAGCAAACTCAGGGAGATAGTGAAGGACAGGAAAGCCTGGCATGCTGCAGTCCATGGAGTCACAGAGAGTCAGACACAACTTAGCAACTGCACAACAACAAAGAATAGGCAAATTCAATAAGACTCGGTGGAGTCGAGGTGACTAGAAGCTGGAGGAGGTAAGAACAAGCAGTTACTGTTTACTGGGTACAAACCCTCCTTAGGGGGAGATGAAAAAAGTTCTGGAGACGGAGAGTGATAATGATTGCATATTCAGTAATTGTACTTAATGCCACAGAGTTGTACACAAAATTGTTACAGTGGTGAATTCTATGTTATATTTTTGTTGCTGCTGTTCAGTCACTAAGTTGTGTCTGACTCTTTGCGACCCGGACCCCATGGACTGTAGCCCTCCAGGCTTCCCTGGCCATGGGATTTCCCAGACAAGAATACTGGAGTGGGTTGCCATTTCTTCGTCCAGGCGATCTTCCTGACCCAGAGATCAAACCCCAGTCTCCTGCATTGGCAGGCAGATTCTTTACCACTGAGCTGCCAGGGAAGCCCCATATATAATTTACTATAAGGCATCCAAGTGGGGAAGTTCAGAGAAAAAGCCAGACCCTGTAGAGCTCTTCCAACCTCATTCAAGCCAGGTATGGACACTGCCACCTGCCTTCCACCAGCCAAGATCCCCAGCCAACCAAATGCCCGGCTCTTGGCTGGCAAGTATTTTCCTCTTTCTTTTTTAAAAATTTTGTTCATTTATTTATTGCTTGTTTTGGGCTATGCTGAGTCTTCATGGCTGCACATGGGCTTTCTCCAGTTGCAGCGAGCAGGGGCTACTCACTACTCGCGTGCGCGGGCTTCTCATTACGGTGGCTTCTCTTGTTGCAGAGTGTGGGCTCTGGAGTGCGTGGGCTCAGTAGGGGTGACACTCAGGCTTAGGTGGCCCACACCATGTGGGGTCTTCCCAGACCAGGGATTGAACCCGTGTCCCCTGCATTGGCAGGTGGATTCTTATCCCATGGACCACCAGGGAAGTCCAGATATTCTCCACTTTCAGTTAGCTACTTCTGAAAATTCCCCTCACCAAGCGTTCATAGGGACCTCCCTGTTCCCCCTTTCCTAGTAAAGACTGGCCATGCCCGGCCAAATGGCCCACAGATAGATAGGCTTGCAAAATTGAGCAACTAAAATTACAGGATGCCCAGTTAGAACTGAATGCCAAATATTGCAATGTTTGTAATCTATTTACACTAGGAAAAAAATAGTCATTTATCTGAAGTTTGAATTTCACTGGATGTCCAGTGTTTTATCTGGCACTTCTATCTTGGGAGCCTCTTGTAGAAAGTATCAAGGGTGGCAAGTCTGCTCAGTGGGACCTTTAGGCCATCAATCAGGACAGTCCATCAGGGATTGCATGAGCTCACATAAATGCCTAAGGCCACGTCTCAGGGTTAGTTTTGCCTGGAGCATGGGGGGTGGACCACCCACCTACCCACCAAATCCTGTCTGAGGACAGCATTAACAATGGCCTAGAAAGGAATAGTCTTTATCCTGCAACCCCATGGACTGTATCAGTTCAGTTAAGTTCAGGCACTCAGTCGTGTCCGACTCTTTGTGACCCCATGGACTGCAGCACGCCAGGCTTCCCTGTCCATCACCAACTCCCAGAGTGCTCAAACTCACGTCCATCAAGTCGGTGAAGCCATCCAACCATCTCATCCTCTGTCGTCCCCTTCTCCTCCTACCTTCAATCTTTCCCAGCATCAGGGTCTTTTCCAATGAGTCAGTTCTTTGTATCAGGTGGCCAAAGGATTGGAATGCAGCACTTGTACAAATTGCGTTCACACACATGATCTCATAAGAGGCTTAAAGCAAGCAGGGTGAGTCGGCAGACAGGACGGAGGACAGAGGACAGAAGTTACGTGGCCTGTTTCATAAGATGATCAGACAGAAACTCAGCAGTGGAGGTGGAGTTGGGGCCAGTAGCCCTGATTTCCAGCCCCTTTGTGGAGGACTAAGGCTTTGAAGGCCTGTACTGAGGGGACCATCCCCATTCTACCCCACCTGCCGAGAGCTAGACCCAGAGCCCAGGTTGGACAAGTGGGGGATGGCAGGGAGGGTCTGGATGTGGGGGTCTTCACTGCCTGTGGGTCAGGGCCTTTTCCCCATCTGTCTCCAGGAGGATGGAATCCCAGGGCTGCTCGGCGGTAGCGAGAGTTCAGAGGACCTCAGCCTGGACTTGGGGGCCCTTCAGGGCAGTGAGTATCTCCAGGACCTGGGCCTCGAAGTCCTTTCACACAGCCAGCCTGGGGGGGCCAGGGGCAGTGGCCCCCCTAGCGAAGAAGCCAGAGGAGAAATGCCCCTCTCCAGCGCTGCGGGGTCCCAGGAACTCGCTCGGAGACGCAGCTGGGAGAGGTCGAGGAGCTGCTCCGAGAGTCGACAGAGGTCAGCCCCCCACCGCGCCGCCACCTTCCTGGACACACCTTCCAGGACAGCCACACCCTGCTCCTCTCCCCTGCCACCACCTCTGGGTCACCTAGCTCAAGGGCCACCAGAGGTGTCTGTGCTATCAGAGGCAGCCCCAGAGACCCCTCTCCAGACGTGCACACATGCGTGTGGGCACACACATCCGTGTGCACGGGTGAGCATGCACACGCTGAAGGAGCGTGTGCCAGCCCAATCTGGAGGCTTTGTGAAACCAGCAGGCACGCTTGGACCCAGATGTGCACACCTGCCCTCGCACACTGGGGGTACATGCCCACACTCAACACACAGGCATGCACCCTCCCCTGCTCAAACCCAGAGACACCTAAATGTGTCCCTCGCATATGCGAGCACAGAACCACAGATGCGCTTCAGCTCGAAACACAATGGGTGCTTGGCATCACCCACACAGTCCAGTGGCAGCCCGAAACAGAGGAGTGCTTTAGTTGTGGGGCCCCCCGCCCCCTTTTCTCCCTCCACCCCTCACATGCTGTGTGCTCAGCCACTTCAGTTGTGTCTGTCTCTTTTGCAACCCCATGGACTGTAGACCACCAGGCTCCTCTGTCCATGGGATTCTCCAGGCAAGAATGTTGGAGTGGGTTGCCATGTCCTCCTCCAGGGGATCTTCCCGACCCAGGGATTGAACCCTAGTCTTTTATGTCTCTTGCATTAGTAGGCAGATCCTTTCCCATTGCGCCACCTGGGAAGCCCCCACCCCTCACAGTTCTCCCCAGATATTAATTTAGTCTGTGTAAAACACAGTGGACCTGTGATGCAAATGGAACTTCAGCATCACATCCTCTAGCTGGGTTCCCCATCCACCCCCCTGGTACTGGGAGATCTGGACCACTCTCTGTGCCCTGCCCCTATCATAGGACCACCCAAGGGTTCCCCCAGGTCCCTGTGCCTCGAATGCTGGAGCTGGGGCGACAGCCCAGTGGAAGAGACCTGACTCCCTCTTGTTCTCCACCAGGCTCAGCACCGAATCCTCAGCTATGAACGAGGGGCCCTGTCTGCCTCGGACCCTGGCCAGCCTCGCTCTGAACCTGCCAGGAGAGGGCCTGCAGGCCTGGACCCAAGGGTGTCTGCCTGGGGGTGGAACTCCCGCAGAGCAACCAAGCAAGGTTGGTGCAACCCCCAACCACCCCGGTTAATAACACAACTATGCGCCCAGGAGCTGGCTCTGTGGGACTCAGGGGTGCCTTACACGTAGCTGGGGGGACTGACCCATCATGGCAGGTGTTGCCCATGACAGAGGAGTCACTGAGTCCTCAGACTCCAGCCCAAGCCTGAAGGTCCTTTGCTGGCCTGAGATCCTTGGCTGTAAGCATCATCCCCTGGGCTAGGGAGCTCAGGCTTGTCTCTGAATCTTTGCAGCTGGGTGGAAGCCCTGTCTGTGACTGAACTTTGCAATGGAAAAGAGCTCGTCTCAGGCCTGGGATTTTAGCCCAAAGCTGGAAAATGCACACCTTGGAACTGAGGCTTCTGCCTGGGGCATCTCTGCCCCTGACCATGACTGGGGGCGGGGGGTGTTTCTGGCTGTGGCTGGAATTTGTGACTCAGAATTCCAGAACTCCAGCCCACAGCTGGGGGGTGGTCCTTGGCTGGTATGGTCCTTGGCTCCAGCCCTCAGCTGCTATGGAGACCCATTCCTGCTCCCGTACCCCAAGGCTGAGGGTAGCCCCTGTCTGCAGCTGGAGACTGGGGACCCTCGACCCAGGGAAACTGCCTGCAACCCAGGGTGCCTCCAGGCTTAGCGAGATGCTTATTCCCTGCAGGAATGTGACAGCCCCGAAAAAAGAGTGAGGTCACGGTCTGTTCCCGCGTCCTTCGATGAGATCAGCTCCCTGGAAATCTTTCCAGCTTTGGAAGTGCCGCCTCCAGCTGGTCAAGGTAGCCCAGCCTGGGGATTTCCTTCATTCAAACAAGTGGGGTAGGGGGCTTCTTCTGGAGGAGGCTTGGGGTCCCCCCGGCAGGAACTGGGCAGAATGCTGGGGGAGGGGTGACATGGCTCCTCCATCATCTGCCCTTCCCCCTCACCCTCCCAGGGCACTCTCGAGCCGAGGTGGGCACAATATTGGAATGACCGCCAGGACTCTCTTGCTCCTCTGATTCTGTCTCTTTCTTTACCTCCTTCTTTTTCTCTGAATCTCTATCTGAAGAGTTTGTATCCCTCTGGTATCAGAAAGACCTACAGGCCAAACCAGAAGCTACCACTTTCTTTTTCTTTTTTAATTTTTATTTATTCATTCATTTTTTGGCTGCACTGGGTCTTCATTGCTGTGTGCAGGATTTCTTTAGTTGCAGCAAGCCGGGGCTACCCTTCAGTGTGGTGCATGGCCTTCTCATTGCAGTGGCTTCTCCTGTTGTGGAGCACAGGCTCTAGAGTGCACAGACTTTAGTAGTTCCGGCACGTGGCTTAAGGGTTCTAGAACACAGGCTCAGTAGATGTGGCGCACGAGGCATTCCGAGGCATGTGGAATCTTCCTGGACCAGGGGTCGAACCCATGTCCCCTGCATTGGCAGGCAGATTCTTAACCGCTGTACCACCAGGGAAGTCCAGGAATTTACCACTTTCTAGCAAGTCTCTGAACCTCCTCCACTTTCTCTCTAAGAAAGACAATCAGAGTATCTCCTCTGCGTCAGTTTGAGATTAAAGTTCACCGACCTAATATGTGTGAAGCGTTTTGCCCTTTGTAAACTCATGACACACCCGGGACGCTTCTGTCCCTGGCTCTCTGTCCTCTTTACAACTCTCCCCCACCCTGACAATGGCAAGCCCCATCTGGACTGGCTCCAGCTCTGCAGGGGTGCATTCAGGGGTTGTATGCCAGGCTGGTCCTGCCCCAGGGCAGCTTTCACACCTATATCTCCTGGGGTGGGGACTGCTTCCAGGCCTGGACCCTCCGGTGCTGGAGAGCATGGAAAAGGATCATGTGGAGCCGAATCATGTGTGAGTGTCTGCCCCTTAGGTGGGGGAGGGACCCCCAAGGACAGCCAAGGGAGTCAAGGTTTGGGAAAGAGGAATGCAGGGATGTAGCATCATTGGCCATAAAAGTGAGCAGGGCCAACCACAGTCCCCCTCTAATAACCTCAGTCTCCTCTCCCACACCGACTTTCTCCCAGGCACCTCAGAAGGTTCTTGATAGCATCAGGAGAGGGTTTGGGGCTCCCAGGTAGGGGTCACATCAGGACCAGGGCCGGGTCAGGCATTCACAGCTTGTTTGGGGGAACATCTGTCATTGGGGGCAACTGTGGACTGTTTTTATCCGACCCCCTGCTCAGGTTGATTGTCCAGCAGGTGCTTGAAGAACTCCGTCAGTACCATGGGTAAGTGGATAGGGGGCTAGGTGTGGGGGAACAGGTGTGTGAGACAGATGTAGAAGACAGGTGGAGGGGGACAGGGGTGGACAGGAATGGGGGATGCAAGCAGGGAACGGATATGGGAAGACAGGTGTGGGGACAGGTGGAAGAGTGGACAGGCAGAGGGGACATGTGGGAAGATGGGGAGAAATGGGAGGAAAACGATGACTGGAGAGGTGGGAGGAGGCACAGGTGTGGGAAGGACAGGACACAGAAGCAAGCTGCCACCAACCTTGTCTTACCTTTGTACAAATGGGAACAGGTGGCCCTTTCCCAAAATGCTGCCATCTGTTGGAAAAATCTTCCCGACATGTTGATTTTGTTTGACCAAGACCTGTTGCTACCCCCTGCTGGAAAACCCATCACAATGACCATGTATCCAAGCCCACATGTGGAGGGATGACAGGATCCCCGGTCATGGGCTGCACGCCTGTCCACGGAGCCCCAGAAGAGAGGGACAGATGAGGGGGCTCCTAGCGGGGAGGGCTGCCGACCCTAGTGTCTGTCCCCTCTGACCCTGCAGGGCCCGGCAGAGGGCTCGCTTGTCGGTCTGCCCCGGAGGAGCAGCTTCCAACCTCACCTGGTTTGAGTTCCTGTCTGAGTGAGTACCCAGAGCTGTGGGTGGGGCCGGCAATGAAGTGAGAGGGCAGGGGCCTGAGATGGGCTGAGGGGTCGGGGGCCCCCATCCTCTTCCTGGAATCACCAGAGCAACAGTGAGGGCGGCAGGGGAAGACTTCTCGGAGAAGGTGACAGCTTGAGCTGGGTTCCAGTGGAAAAGTAGGAGTTCGCCAGTATGCTGAAATGAGATGGGGAAAAGAATTAGGTGCCTTCCACAGGAATGGTGCCGGGATGGGGCTGGGAGGAGGGGAGGGAAGTCAGCAAAGGCCAGATTGCCCCTGGGAAGCAGAAGTCCACAGCTGTGTGGTGACCACTGATGGTGAGCACCATCAAGGGTGCAGACCAGAGGCATGGAATCTCCCTCCAGGGACTCGATTCTGCAGGGGTTGGGTTTCTTACATATAATGACTAAATACATATTTATTAAATGAGAGTGTTTTGGTCATCCAGGAGAGGTAAGATCTAGGGCTGGAGTGTTGGGGGGGAAGAGGGCAGGGGGATTTGAGAGACATCCCATGGGAAGAATGGACAGGGTTTCAGGCTGATAAGATAGGAAGAGAGTGTGAACCAGAGGGAGGAGGCAGAGATGGACAAGGTCCATCAAGGCACCTCAAGCTTGAGACCATGTCACTTTCCCCTAGCCAAACCCGGTCCCCAAGTCCACTGGAACTTTGCAAACCTCCATAAATGTTTTGTGTGTGTGTGTGTGTGTGTGTGTGTGTGTGTGTGCGCGCGCGCGTGTGTGCTCAGTCATTCAGTTGGGTCTGGCTCTTTGAGACCCTGTAGACTGTAGCCTGCCAGGCTCCTCTGTCCATGGGATTTTCCAGGCAAGAACACTAGAGTGGGTTGCCATTCCCTTCTCCAGGGGATCTCTCTGATCCAGGGATCAAATCCGGGTCTCCTCCTTGGCAGGCGGATTCTCTACCACTGAACCACCTGGGAAGCCCTACACACATATGAAAGTGAAAGTTTTAGTCGCTCAGTCATGGCCGACTCTTTGTGACCCCATGGACTGTAGCCCACCAGGCCCTCTGTCCATGGAATTCTCTAGGCAAGGATACTGGAGTGGGTTGCCATGGCCTTCTCCAGATCTTCCTGACCCAGGGATCAAACCTGGGTCTCCCAAATTGCAGCAGATTCTTTTACCTTCTGAGCCACCAGGGAAACTCTCTCTCTATATATATATAGAGAGAGATATCTATATCTATCTCTCTCTCTCTATATATATATATATATATACACATCTATATATATACATACTATATCTGTATGCAAACCATAGTATATACATATAGTGTGTGTGGGTATATATATATATATAGTATATACATATATTGTGTGTGTGTGTATATATATATATGTAGTGTGTGTGTGTATATATATAGTATATACATATAGTGTGTGTGTGTATATATATATATATATATATGTAGTGTGTGTGTGTATATATATAGTATATACATATAGTGTGTGTGTGTATATATATATAGTATATACATATAGTGTGTGTGTGTGTATATATATATATATATATGTAGTGTGTGTGTGTATATATATAGTATATACATATAGTGTGTATATGTACTATATATATGTATGTGTATATATACAATTGCACTCAGGCTTGCTGCTGCGCAGGCTCTCCTCTCGTCGCGCTGCTCGGGCTTCTCATTGTGGTGGCTTCTCTTGTTGCGGAGCGTGGGCTCTAGGTGCTTGAGCTTTGGTCATTGTGGCCCCCCAGGCTCTATAGCACAGGTTCAGTCGTTGTGGCACAGTAGCTTCGTCGCCCCACAGCATGTGGGATCTTGCCGCACCAGGAATTGAACCGGTGTCTCTTGCGTTGGCAAGCAGATTCTTATTCATTATGCCACCAGGGAAGCCCAGTGAATGTGTTTTGAGTGAGTAAGTGAGTGAGAGGAGAGAGAAAGAGTTCAGGACCACAGCGAGGGTGGGACAGGATAGAGGGGCCACAGGTAGACAGATTCTAGATGGATCCCAGGAGTGACCTGCAGAACTGGCCAGAAGCGCCTTTTGGATCTGCTGTAACCCTCCTCACCGAACTCTCCCCCACCTTAGGAGCGAGGACAGCATGGGGAAGACGGAGAGAAGTGACAGGGGCACCCGGGTGAAACGCAGCCTGAGCTCCCTGCGCAATCGAGTCACCAGGCAGAAGGAGAAGGTCAGAGGGCTGGGCCAGGGGTTGGGGGACCCTCTCTGCCTTCTCCAGCTTGCCAGGGTGTCCCCAGCCCCAGAGCCCTGTGATTCCAGGTGGGAATGGACACACAGGGTATTCTAAGGTCCACCTCTGTCTCCAACAGGGGAAGACCCCAGTGCATCAGAAGGACAAAGGTCAGGATGCGCGCGAGAGGAAAGAATGTATCAACGGGCACCAGCTGGCTCGAGGAACCTTCTCTGGCCACTCCAGCTGCCCTCTGTGTGGCAAACCTTTTCTGAGTTCTGGTGAGTCCAGTGGCCCAGCCTGTCGCCCTGGGTGGCAGCCACTTTCTCTGCCTCACTTCCCCTAAATTGCTCTCATGTCTTCCTTCCATCTTTGCGTCCTCTTTCCAGCTCAGGCCAACCATTGCTTCCTGAAGGTCACCAGGAATCCATCCCTAAGAGCAGGGGGTATTTGGTTAGCTTGGATTCCCCCCCACCACAAGTTCTTTTTTTAAAAAATGCTTATTAATTCATCTATTGGCAGCACCAGATCTTAGTTTCAGCATGCAGGATCTCTAGTTGTGGCATGTGACCTCTCAGTTGCAGCATGTGGGATCTAGTTCCCTGAGGGGGGATGGAACCCAGGCCCCCCTGCCATGGGAGTGCAGAGTGTTAGTCACTGGACCACCAGGGAAGTTTGGAACTCCCAAATTCCCTTTAAGTTTCAGCTTTCGTTGTTGGCAAAATCCAGATTCAGGCAGTGTATTAGTTAGCTACAATCCAGCCAGCCTAAACCACAGAAATGCATTGTCTCAGAGTTCTAGAGGAGTTCAAGATCGAGGTGTCAGCTCCCTCTACAGGTGCTGGGAAAGGGTCCATCCCAAGCGTCTCTTGTGGCTTCTGGAAGTCTGATGGCTTGTGCCAACAGAGCTATGGTCTTCGTGTGGCGTTGTCCCCGTCCTCATGTTCACGCCTCAAATTCCCCTTTGCTTAAGGATTAGGGCCAACCCTAACTCAGTATGACCTCACTGAATAAATACATTAGCAATAAGCCTATTTCCAAATGAGGCCACCTTATGATGCCCTGATGGGGCTTCCCTAGTGGCTCAGTTTGTAAAGAATCTGCCTGCCAATGCAGGAGAACTGGGTTCGATCCCTGGGTCAGGAAGATCCCCTGGAGGAGGAAATGGTAACCCACTCCAGTATATTTGCCTGGGGAATTCCATGGACAGTGGAGCCCCGAGGGCTATAGTCTGTAGGGTCGCAAAGAGTCAGACATGATTTAGCAACTTAGCATGCACGCAGGCATGATGTAGTGAAAGGGTTAGGTCTGTAATATATGAATTGGAAGGAAAGAGAGAGGGAGAGGAGGCAGGATCAGACCATTAACAAGCAATTTCCTGCCTCCCAGCACTGTCTCGGGAATAACAGTCTCTGCTCAGGAAAATATTTTGTTTGTTATGTTTAGTCGCTAAGCCATGTACGGACACTTTTGTGACCCCATGACTACAGCCTGCCTGGCTTCTCATCCATGGGATTTCCCAGGCCAGAATACTGGAGTAGGTTGCCATTTCCTCCTCCAGGGGATCTTCCCAACCCAGGGATTGAACCTGTGTCTCCCACATTGGCAGGCAGATTTTTTACCACTGAGCCACTTGGGAAGCCCAACACAGAAATGAGGAAAAAGTTCTGGGTTCCAAAGGCCTTGGAGGGAGATGACTCTGGTCTTTTATGAGATTTAGAACTTTGCTTTTTTGACAAGGGGCAGAGAGGAGGCATTGGCAACTGCATGCTAGTTGCAAATTCAGGCTGCTGCAGGGTTCCTCCACCTTGGTCCTATTGCTCCTTGAGGCCTGGTCATTCTTTGTTGAGGGAGGGGAGGGCTGTTTTGTGCATTGCAGGATGTTGAGCAGCGTCCCTTGCCTCCACCCACTAGATGCTGTTAACACCTGCCTCATGAGTCATGACAACCAAAAATGTCTCTAGATGTGGCCAAATGTCCCCTGGGGGCTAGGATTGCCCGGGTGAGAATCAGTGGACGAGTGCAATAGAGAACTGGACCCAGGGTGGGCCATGCAGTGAAAGCGGTCCCTCCACCCCAGGGGCAGGTGCCTCCTCAAGACCTGAGCCACGGGTTTCGCATTTCTGCCTTGCCTGGCCCCACATGTGGGCATTTTCCTTCTTCCTCATTCCTCCCGTTTTCCGGAGTAGTTTTTGCTGGTGGCAGGCCTGTTGGCTGCTGCAGTCAGCAGTGGACCCATTTGGAGCTTTCTCTCCAAAGATCTCCAACCTGCTTTCTGACCCTGTGAAAGGTCTCTCCGGCTGAGGCCACCCAGACTTTGCAAAGTCTTCAGCATCTTAAAGTCCTTTTCAGCAGTAGGTGTGTGCTAAATTCACCTTAGTAGTGTCTGACTCTTTGTGACCCCATGGACTCTAGCCTGCCAGACTCCTCTGTCCATGGGATTTCCCAGGCAAGAATACTGGAGTGGGTTGCCATGCCCTCCTCCAGGGAATCTTCCTTACCAGCAAGTGACTTCCTGTTTCTGCTGACTTCCTCATCTCTTCATCTGGGTGGGGTGGGGGTGAGGTCTGCTGGATACTGGGACTCCCTGGAAGGCCAGGATCAAGCCCTCAGGGGCTCCATCTCAGGCATCAAATCCAAGGAGCAGGTGGGAAGTCGGCAGAAGGAAGGGTGAGGGCAGAGATCCAGAACTTGAGCCAGTACTGATTCAGTAGAGGAATGCATCCATGTTGATGCAGAATTGAGTATTTTTAAATAAATATATAGATATATTCAAGCTACTGCACAATTACAGTCATCTCACACATTAGCAAAGTCATGCTCAAAATTCTCCAAGCCAGGCTTCAACAGTATGTGAACCATGAACTTCCAGATGTTCAAGCTGGATTTAGAAAAGGCAGAGGAACCAGAGATCAAATTGCCATATCTGTTGGATCACAGAAAAAGCTAGAGAATTCCAGAAAAACATCTACTTCTGCTTCATTGACTATGCTGAAGCCTTTGACTATGTAGATTACAACAAACTGTGGAAAATTCTTCAAGCGCTGGGAATATCAGACCACCTTACCTGCCTCCTGCGAAACAAGTCAAGAAGCAACAGTTAGAACTGGACATGGAACAACAGACATGGAACAATGGACTGGTTCAAAATTGGGAAAGGAGTACGTTAAGGCTGTATATTGTCATATTGCTTATTTAATTTATATGTAGAGTACATCATGTGAAATGTTGGGCTGGATGAAGCACAAGCTGGAATCAAGATTGCCGGGAGAAATATCAATAACCTCAGATATGCAGATGACACCACCCTTATAGCAGAAAGTGAAGAGGAATTAAAAAACCTGTTGATGAAGTTGAAAGAGGAGAGTGAAAGCTGGCTTAAAACTCAACATTCAAAAAACTAAGATCATGGCATCTGGTCCCATCTCTTCATGGCAAATAGATGGGGAAACAATGGAAACAGTGACAGACTTTATTCTCTTGGGCTCCAAAATCACTGTGGACAGTGACTGCAGCCATGAAATTAAAAGACACTTGCTCCTTGGAAGAAAAGCAATGACAAACCTAGACAGTGTGTTAAAAAGCAGACATTACTTTGCCTACAAAGGTCCATATAGTCAAAGCTATGGTTTTTCCAGTAGTCATATACAGATGTGAGAGCTGGACAATAAAAAGGCTCAGTGCTGAAGAACTGATGCCTTCGAACTGTGATGCTGGAGAAGATGCTCGAGAATCCCTTGGACAGCAAGGAGATCAAACCAGTCAATCATAAAGGAAATCAACCCTGAATATTCATCGGAAGGACTAAAGCTGAAACTGAAGCCCCAATGCCTGATGCGAAGAAAAAAGACCCTGTTGCTGGGAAAGACTGAAGGCAGGAGAAGGGGATGATAGATGAGATGGTTGGGTGGCATCACTGACTCAATGGACATGAGTTTGAGTAGACTCTGGGAGATGGTGAAGGACAGGAAAGCCTGGCATGGTACAGTCTATGGGGTGGCAAAGAGTTGGACATGAATGAGTGACTGAACAACAGCAACAAAGGCAAATTTTTATATTTTAGAAGAAAATTAAATTACAGAAGAACAGAAGTCTAATATGCCAAAGACACTTTGTTTGATGCACTTAGTGTCAATATTTGGGGACACTTTTAAAGGCTTTTTTCCTACAAAAAAAATGGCATTGATAATGGCTTGTACAGTAATATTTAAAATAGCAGGAAGAAAAAAATAAAATAGCAGGAAGATGGAAACACTTTCATACCATATTTTGGCAAACAGTTCTAAAGACAGCAAACACGAGCTCAGTGGGTTTTCCTTTGCTTTAAAATAAGCTACCAGTAAATCTAAACTAAGCAAAAATGCATTGTTCCTGGATGGAATATAAGCAGTCATACTCGCAAAAATGTTTTGCAATAAGTTCTTGGCTTCTGTGAAAATCCCAAAATAGCAAAGGAGAGACTAGAGTTTACTTTCAGATTTTATGACTGGCTTCCAACAATCTTTTATCAGTAGACCTACAGGCAAAATACTAGACACTCAGGATCAGATTCCATTCCTTGATGTAAGGACGGAACTGTTGTGGATTGCTGTCCTTGGCTAGCATAAACCAGCGAATAACCACGTGTAAGATAAAATGCAAGACAGGCAGGAGGGATAGCTTAATGTTTTTGTTGTTGTTGTTACAGGAAAAAAAAGAATCCTTGCTAATACTATGGTGAAACTAATGCTTACTTAAGGATTTTAACATTAGAGTAAGACAAAAGATCAGACTTCAAAGAGACCAGATCTGTAACTTGGAAGTGAAGTCTTTTGCTGCATTTTGGCAATAGACTCTAACTTGGCATATGCTCAGTCGCTTCAGTCATGTCTGACTCTTTGCAAGCCCACGACTGAACCCCAGCTCCTCTGTCCATGGAATTTTCCAGGCAAGAATGCTGGGGCAGGTTACCATTTCCTCTTCCAGAGGATCTTCCCAACCCAGGGATCGAACCTGGATCTCTTACACTGCAGACAGATTCTTTACCACTGAGCCACCTGGGGGAGCAACTTAGACTATACAACTATCTATTTGAGGACTCTCCTAAACCTCCAGTGGGAGGCAGAATCCTACCCTCCTGGAAACTTTTCATTTTAGATTTATAGAAAAGCGCAGGGAGAGCTCCCATGTATAGTTCACCTAGTTTTCCCTCATGTTAATGTCTTGTTCAGTCGCTAAGTCCTGTCTGATTCTTTACCACCCCATGGACTGTACCACACCAGGCTTCCCTGTCCACCATCTC